ATAAATAAATAAATAAATATAAAAAAGAGAGAGACTCTGTCTCTTTTGCGATTTGAGAAAGATAGTCATCTGGTTGAAACTGAAGCACATTCTAGTAGGTTTGAGAAGGGGCATTAAAAAATAACACATGCACTCAGTGGGCATGGCTCAGTGGTTGAGATTTGACCTATGAACCAGGAGGTCAGAGTTCGATTCCCTGTCAGGGCCCATGCTTGGGTTGTGGGCTCGATCCCCAGTAGGGGGCGTGCAGGAGGCAGCTGATCAATGATCCTCTCATTACTGATGTTTCTGTCTGTCTCTCTCCCTCTCCCTTCCTCTCTGTGAAACCAATAAAAACATAAATAAATTAAAAAAATAAATAAAATAACACATGCAATGTTCTCAAAGAATCTATCTGCCTTTTGCATTTGGCCTGGAGCTAAGCCTTTTTAAAGCAATTAGCCATAGTGTAGTATTTTATGATTTTTGTTGACCGAAAAGGCATCTTATAGATTGATATGGATTCAAAAGAAGAGAGGCTTCCAGGAGAGGATGCTAAACATTTCTGAATGTTCAGCAAGATGTGTTTAGCAGGGACCCATCGTGGACACCTTTCAGAACAGTAAAGCCTCTGGCTCCACTAATTCAGATTTATGACTATTTAGATAAAGTCTCAGCTGAAGTTCAAGTTTGCATTATGTCTTATTGGCAACCGAACCATAAAAATACCTCAGAAATGTCAGCATTTTTGTGTCCACATCTGGAAGGCATACAAAATCCCGGGTCAGGCTCGGTGTCTTGGTTCTTCGTTGAGGAAATACTGTCATCTTACAGGCTTAGGAGAATTGATAATATAAAGTATTCACGTCGATTGTTTTGCTCTGGTGTACTAGTTCTAGATGTTTTAAAGTAACTAAACCCATTTACAAATACTGTACATTTATTTATAAATACCTTACAAATACTCTTGGAAGAGGGGGTGGGGACGTTTTACCTTTCCGTTGCCTGAGTACTTCTAAGTGGTTAAAAAAGTATATACTATATGGAGTCAGGCTTAATAGGTAACTTAAAATGTATAAAATAATTCAGACTCTTCCAACAGCTGTGGGTGGCCATAAAGGCAGGCTCTATTTATTGTAAGGCACAAATTGGAACTCCACGGTTTAGAGGGTCTCCTATGTTCTAAATTCACATATTTAAAAAACTGTTTCCCAGCCATGCACATATTTTCTCTTTGAATTTAGCTGAAACAAAATTGGCCATCAGATTTTAAAGAAATAAGTTACTTGTTTTGATATAATTAAAAAGCATGGCATGCTTATTGTAGAAAATTTGGGAAGTATAGAAAAATATAAAGAAAAAATCCAATCCAAGTTGAATTATCCAGACATTTATTATAAGATATATATGTGCCCGTTTATCTCACAACTGAGATCATATAGCATTTAATATCCTACTGCTTTCATTTTAATGTTATATTGTACTTTCTCATGTTATTAAAATTATTCATATATATTTTTATAAACATTTTTTTAAAAAATATATCTTTATTGATTTCAGAGAGAGGAAAGGAGGGGGAGAGAGAAAGATAGAAACATCAATGATGAGAGTCATTGATCGGCTGCAGCCCGCAACCTGGGCATGTGCCCTGACCGGGAATCGAACCCCGATCGCCTGGATCCTAGGTCAATGATCAACCGCTGAGCCATGCCCGGCCGGGCCTATAAACATTCTTTTCCATAGTATTACATATTTGAATCAATTAAATAGCAATACTATTTTCTTTATTCCCCTATGGTTGAGCACTTTTGTTATGTCACATCTTTGTTGCTATTACTATTATTATTACCATTTCTTTATTATGAATGGTACCATACTGAAAATCATTTCAGCACATCTATATCCAAATTCTTATCATTTCCTTGATGTAAATTCTTAAGGTCAATAGATATAGACATGTCCACACCCATCTAATTTTAAGATCAGCTTAACTAATAGATTTATGTCTTATTGGTTCTGGGATTTCAGCAAAGGAATGAATTGAATCTGTTGATGAGAAAGGTACCCTGTTAATGAGTGTGATCTACCTATTGGGTATTGTACTTTGAGTTTCCTGCCTCGGGAGGGACTTGGTTCGGCCTTGTTTGACTTGTTTTAATTGCCAGAATACAACTCAAGGCAGGATCCCAGGAAGGCCACTGTACAAAATGGGGCTTACTTTTTTTTTTTAAATGACATTTTGAAATAATAAGCTTTTTCTTGAAAATTTGGAAAAAAAATAACAGATGACCTGGAAACCTGAGCTATGTTGTCTTGTTTCATGATTTATGTATTCTTTGAAGGAAAAAAAGGCATACAAGCAAAACACTTGCCAACTTACTCGTGGTGGATATAAACATACCCTACACATGAGCTTGAGCATCAGTTCTACAGACAAGGTGGTCATCGGTTTGGATAAAAGTATGTTTGGAATTGTTCTGTTGCTGCAAAAAAACACCCTTTTCTTCATACAGCAACACATCACTCATCGAGTGCTGTTAGGAAAAACAGCTTTTTCTTAAAAGCAAATGTCCCAAATGGACCAAGTTTTGCCAACACATTTTGAAGGCTTCCTCAAATACAGCACAACTGATGTCCCCGCTTTCTCACCCAAATGATACCGAATATAAGGTCATCCAAGGTCATTTTTAAGTCACAATTACTATTCAGTTAGTCCTCAGAGTCTGTGTGTCCCTAAATGTTCCCAGATTATAGGTTTTTTAAAGTTCTCTCTCTTTTTAGTTGCTATCAAGTTTTCTAATATTTCTTGTTATTGTAAACATACCTGTTTTTACTAGTTTCCTCCCTTATCTGTTGTTAACCTGTTGGTGAAAGTTCATTAGGATTCTAAGTGAAGCGTCATCTAAGTGGGAACTTGAGGAATGATCTCATGAGTAGCGCTTTGGTGTGGAATCTTTGCAAATCTATTTTGGTTTCTCAAGGTTTTGTTGACTTCCAGGCTTCTGACCATGTCAGAGGGTGACACTGTTCATGTACCGCAATCCTGACAGCAACGGCAATCTTGGCTCAAACAGACCAATTATTTGCTGTAGTCTTTGACCTGGTTTTCTTGCCCTTACTCATCTCTCTTCACACATTAGCCATAGTATTCTTTAAAAATAAAAAAGTTAGGTCACTCCTGTTTAAATCTTCCAGTGGCTCCTCATACTTAGTATAAATCCAGGTATCATCTCAGCCTGGTCTGCGCGTCCTAGCCGTGGGCTCTCACCTCACTCCCTTATTTCCTACCTTCTCCCACCCCCTTTTGTTCACTCTGATTTCCTGCTGTTCCTCCAACAGGCAGTGGACTCATCTCGGAGGGTGGGAACCTGGCAGGTGTCCACCCTTCCCTGCTTGGCTTTTTCCTTGTTGCATTCAGATCTCTTTTCAAATTGTGGCTCCTCGGACCTCCCAAGGGCACGGATCCCCAGCCCCTCTGTTCTATTTTCTTCAGTACGTCTTCAGAGTACTGCCGCCTGAAATGATCTTACACGTGGGCTTATGTTCAAGAATGTAAACTCCATGAGAGTGGGGGTTTTGTTTTATTTATGAATGCATCTGAGGACAGAAGATGCCTAGAGGGGCTCAATAACATTTTTTGGAAGAATGAACACTAATTTTTGAAATGTTGAAAGTTACTTAATTCCCACTATGATCCTAACAGGTAGAACTACGAAATGCCCATTTCATAGGCTGATCAAAATGTATCTTAGAGAAGTTAAATAAACTTGTCCGAAACCCACAGTCACCAAGTATTAAAGGTGGGGGAGCTGGCCCGTGTTAGCAGTATTTTAGATATGATCACTGAAGCCACTTGGATACACTAAAAACACAAGTAGCAAACCTGATTTGAGAACAAGCTGCAGGGAAGAGAAAAGTTAGTGTAAAAGTTCTTATTTTCCCAAGGGGAACGCTCATAGCTGATGCTGAGGCTCTTGAGGCTAACATGGAAACAGATCATGGAGCTAAATACGACCCAGTCATCCTGAACTGTGAGCCCCAAGGCCGCTGGGGAGTGAGGACACAAGCAAGTGTCCTGGCAGTGCACAGGGAGGAGGGGCTGAGGGCTCTGGGACTGTCACAGCAGCTTGGCCCGCAGGCCTGGGTCTCTGGGGCGAGGGGAAATTCTCGGAGGTAGCACACGGATGTACTAGTCATAACTCATCGATGCCAAGTTGAACACTACTTAACACTAGTGTGCTGTTTGCCAAGTATCCTTACAAGAAAGAAAAACAAAAAAAGGAAGCTGTAAAGAAAAATGATGGACAGGATGAGATGTGATACACATGAGGACAGCCTCCTGCCTCCTCCTCCAGGGATGCACTAGTGGCCCAGCTGCAGGGAGGAGTCAGCAAATGCTATGGCTGTCAGCACCTATAGGGGTGGCCTCAGCAGCAGAGCCACCCAGCTTGAGGTCACACCCCTCTCCAGGGCCTGAGAGGGGCAGGTGAAAAGGCCTGGCGACTTGGGCCCAATCCAGGACAAGCCACCTGGGACCATCAGGGAGAGCTCTCCTCGGGGCTGGCCAAGGCTGTTCTTTCCCTCCTACCTCTTCCTGCTGCCTCGCCTTTTCCTTTCACGGGCGAGGATCCCTAATGGATGCCTTGCACTTCAAGCCCCTTTACACCTGCTCCCACAGAGCCTGATCTGTGATGTCGGGGTTAGGCATCGGCTGACGGTGTCTGTGTTGGCTCACAGGTACCCAGGTAGGCTCTGGCTCTCCAGTGACAAGCAAAAGTCAGTCCCTGACCTCATGGGGGTAATCGCCTAGTAGAGTGGCAGAGTTCAAATAAAAATTAAAAATTAAAAAGTATATATTGTACTAAGTACCATTAGGATCTGTGTGGAAAAAATCAATCACCCCACATAATATCAACAACTCTTAGCATACATGTCAAGTATAGTGTTTTCATGTTAGAATTATGACAATATGGGCACCACCTCAGGATGCGCTCTACTACCAAAATAACAGTGCAACAAAATTGTTGGTGTAACAAAATCTTGTTGACTTTATTTCATCCTTTCAAATCTGCAATCTAAGACCACCATCCAGTTACTTATTAATGTCCTTATCAAACTAGGTCACTGATAAAATATTAAGATTGCACTAAACTTTGGGTACTAAGAAGGGAAATAGTGACTCCAGGAGGGACCTATGGTGTCTACCTGCCCATCACCCACCATTCTTTTACCAGCACCTCGTTTCCTATGATCTGACACGCCCCCTTCATGGTCATGTGGTTTATGGGAGGGGATGTCACCCACACTGGAGTAATCGGGAAATTTTTCCATCCTGGTCCAGGAGTGTTAACACAATTCCAGGCAGACCAATGACAGTGAGCTCCTGGCTTTGCTGAGCCATCAGGCAAGAAGTTCTTATTCCAGTTGGGTCAGAGAAGGGGGCCAACTGAACTTCTTAAAACTGGCTTCAGAGAAAAGCTTAGAATTACGACTGGGCCATCAGATCAGAAGATTTAAAACAACAGGATCTGATCACTGTCAGATTATGATGCAATAACACCATCTCTGAAAATAAAATGCACTCCTCCCAGAGTCTCCAAAACCTTTTATTTTTAGAGTCTAACCTTGTTCTAGGAAGTAGCAGAGTGAGAGAGCACTGCTAATAGTTATCTGACAAAAACTGTCCATTACTTCTGACATTAGACACTGAATGCCATCATTAAAGAAAATAATACATTACCATTCACAGAATATATTTAGAAACCTGTGGATTCCAGTGATTAGATTTTAGTCATGCCCAGCAAGGAACAGAACAGTGGCTAAGAAGCACATGTTCTCATAAAAGACACCTAAGTGGCACACTCGGGGTGATAATATTAAGGATTTCAACATAATACGGTTCTCTGTGGAGAAAACAACTCCAGTTTCTAAAGAGCGTTCACTTCGGACACCTCGATTCCTGATTTCAGCGGCTGCACACTGTGCACCTCTGTGCCACACTTAGGGCAGGTGAAGAACATGTCGAACAGGAAACTGCTCTTGGCACAGTAGTAGCAGAAGACGTGCTCACAGCCTATGGTGTGGGGCATGGTGGGCCACTCCCCGCACAGGGAGCACAGCTTGCCGCTGCTGGCCAAGGTGCTGTCCCCGTTAGGAGCACCGGTAAGGGGGATGCACCACGAAGATAACTTGGCCTTCAACTTGTGGACGTTGACGAGCGGTAGGAGGAAAATGAGGAACTCAGCAAAGCCGTGCCAGAGAAGCTCCCTGTTCATGTACTCGAAGCCCACCTCGCGTGCCTGCTGGGGCCTGCAGAACACGGAGCGCAGGCCTAGCAGACGTTCCGTCAGAGTTGCAAACTTGCCCTTCTGGAGGAAAATCAGGAAGTTAATCAGCCCCCCCAACTGCACAAGTCCCACCACAAAGTTCACACACTGCTTGGCTTTCCCGAAGGAGGCCAAGTGATGGTTTCGGAACAGATCGTAGCAGCGCTCTTCCAGCCACTTCCCGCCGATCGTGCACACCGCGTACCAGAGCTTCTGGTTCTTGCTCGGGGGCTGGTATCTCAGGGTTGTGGAGAAATCGTTCTTGTACTGGATATTTAAAACCGACTGGCCCACAGTGGCGTTTTTGGAGTATACGGTGAAGCGCCACAAGAAAAGCCACAGGAGGGCTTTCAGCTCAGGTTCAAAGCGGGCTAGCAGCCCGGGCTGAAACCCGTGGAAGCACTGGGTGACCTGGGACCAAACCAGCTGCTCCAGGGCCTTGTTCAGTTCAAGGGCATCCAACTGACTTATTCTGAGCACCCTGTGTGTGCTCTTCGCCTTCTCTTCTCTGGAAGCCATGACTTCTCCAAAGGGCTCTAGGAGAGAGAATGATTAGGAAGCACAGTCAGACAGAGGGGACCTGGTACCATCTCAGCAACCGACAACTCTGAAAACTGTGATACACAAAAGACACAGGACACAGAGGGCAGGCCTTCATATGGTGTCCAAACAGCACACTGAGCAGTCCTGTCTTACTCTCAGCCCTGACATACGACAGGAATGCTTCTTGCCACTCTGGGTGACCTCACCTGTTCCCCTTTCCTGGAGCTCCGAGGAGACTTCTAGGCCTACAGCAGTGGGGATTGGCTGCAAGCTCTGTGAAATCCTTGCCTCATCCTGGTCAGGTGCTACAGGAGAGAAAAAAGGGGTTAGGACCCCTTTGCTCCCTCTACGAATCTAATTAGCCCCCAAGGCCTGTTCTTTGTCCAAAACATCTTTCAAATCCCTTCCTTACTCTATCTCCAGAGCCTTCCTAAACGACACTGCTCTCGAGACCCTGGATTCCATCCAGTGGGTGTATCTACCTTGACTCCAGTGCATTGCCCACACTGCGCTCCTTCAAACACAAGCCTCCCCCTGTATGCCCTCAGCTCTTGCCTTCCCAATGCTTTGACTTCTAGTATAAAGTGCTCCCTTCTCTTGCTCACTAGGGGACATTTTACTACCTGTTCCCTTCACCGGGATCAGCATATTCACAATTCTTGAACTGAAAAACTCATCCTAAATTCTTAAGTACTGAGTTAGACATTACTTCCTCCCGACTCTCCCAGTTTGGGTTAGCTGCCTCCTCTCTCTAGACCTTTTTGTACTGTACAAACACTGCTTTTCGATGGTTGGTTTCCTCCACTAGAAGATAGGCCCTGTTGCAAAGATTATTTGACTCTTGTCACTGTTGAATCTGAGCAACTAGTACAGTGCCTGGAATACAGAATGCATTCTACAAATACCAGATAAATGGATCAATGGACAGAAAAAAGTCTGGGGTGGGTGAAAGGTAGAAAATACAAATTCCCATCCACTAAAACTATTTCAAATGCCCATATGCAGACTGTTGTTTATTACTTATTTCAACATGTGTTTGTTGTGCACCTGCTACTTAGCAGTTAATGTGTGGGAACTAGTGAAAGAATGGCAGACAGACAGTCTCAACCCATGGAGACTCTAATGTAGCAGGGTGATGTGGGGGATAAGACTGTGCTAAAAAATGGCATACAATTACAAGGTATGATAAGTGATGTGTGAGGGGAAATTCAGGGCATTATGCTTAGGAGCAGAAAAGGCTTCATGGCAAGGCAAAACCTATGCAGCCCCTGAAGGGTTAAGTGGTGTCAGGCTGGAAAAAGAAGGCAAGGACACTAGTCCAGGCTGAGGGAAGAGCAAGTGACAAGGATAAGAGGTCCAAGGACAAAAGATAAGGCTGGGAGGAAAGCACGAGACTCATCTTCAAGGCCCTAAAAGCAGAGTTGAGGAGGCTGTATTTTATCAAGATGGTCATGGGGAGCCACTGAATAGTTATAAGAAAAGAATTAATCAAAATTTCAATTTACACAGCTTGTTATGGCCACACTCACAATGCATTTGGTGCTGAAAGACTGGACTAGAGGCACAGAGATCAGTGAAGATGCTTGTTAAAATGATCTGGTGAGAAATGAATGGTGGTCTAAACTGGAAAGGTATCAGTGGGCATGAAGAGATAGGTACATCTGAAAGCTTGGAAGTGGTAGAATTGATATGATTTCATGAGAAATAAGCGAAGAGTCATTAACATTAGTAACTGAGTAGATCAGACCAGTTCCCTGAAATGGGAGACACATGCAGAGATAAAGGGAAAGAAAATAGATACACATAGTTTTGGAGATGAGAGGCTCCTACGAGACAGCTGAGTGGGAAAGGTCAGTAGGCAGTCATGTGGATTGGGAGGAAAAATCTGGGCTGGGATGCTGAGCATGGGGTCCCTCTGGACTAAACTATTTTAATTCTTAATTAAATGCTCAAATCAGGAAGGCAGTGATCTATACAAGACACATGGATCTTGTCCATTCATAACACATTTAACTTTCTTTGTAACAACATAATCTTTTCATAGTTTTCCTATATCAGCTACTATGGCACTTCATTGGTTATGTTCACTAATACCACACATCGTCAGGCTTTCAATCTTTCTTTGCCATGCTCTTCAACATCACAGTCCTGTGGGCTCCTGTTCTAGTCTAGTGGTTCTCAAACTTGAGCATTTATCAGAATCACCAGGAGGACTTAAGATTAGGGTGCCTCAATTATCTGCATTTCTAACAAGTTCCCTGGTGATGCTGAGAATTATGGGCTAGTCCATTTTATTTTATTTTATTTTATTATTTTATTTTATTTTATTATTTTATTTTATTTATTTTTTTTAAATATATCTTTATTGATTTCAGAGAGAGAAAAGGAGAGGGAGAGAGATAGAAACATCAATGCTGAGAGTCATTGATCAAGCCCACAACCCAGGCATGTGCCCTGACCAGGCATCGAACCCCGATCGCCTGGATCCTAGGTCAACACTCAACCGCTGAGCCACACCCGGCCAGGCTGGGCTAGTCCATTTAAAAATGCAATTCATAAATCCTTTGGCATATCTATCACCCATACAGCTCAATGCTGTGTGCCAGTCACCCACTCACTCCTGGTTCATTCCTGGTTCCTGACTCAGGTGCTCCCTTCCTTCTATTAAGTGGTCCTTGTGAGATTAGAGACCATACAGGGCTTCCATACACTCTACGAATGTCAATGGATCCTTGCCCTCCCTGCAAGGTACTTGGGGTGCAGACAGGAAGACTCAGTCCTGGCTCACTTAAGGACCCCCAACCAAGGGCTGCAGGGAGGCAGCAAGTGAATGGACAACTAGGCAACAACAGAGGGAGATGGCACCACAGGTTCTCAAAGCCAATACACAGATTTTTACAACTATCTTGATAGAAAAATAATTTCAAAGTTCACACAAAAAACTATCAACGAATAAAATTATTTTTCTCACTTTTCTCTGCTGTTTAAAAGTTTTCTCTAACTTATATCATTTATGTAACTAAGGAAAAAACAAAAACACTATATGAAAACCTTCATGAGCAAACCAAAATCTACAAAATTATTTCCCCACACTCACCACATCACCTCTTTCTTACCTCATACTACACCTGGGATAAAGTACAAACTTCTCAGACCCATCCTGGCACAATTCTGCCTCCACCCCTGCGGTCATGTAACCCTAATTCCCAGTGGAGCCATGAACGTAGACTACCCTTCAGTCCTGCCTCTGTCATTTCTCATGCACCTAACACTTACCTTCCCTACCAACTGCTCCCAATGCCCTCAACCACCTCCCTTCACATTCCAACTCTATTTCAAAATTCTCCACAAAATTCATAACTATCCCCAGTGCCCACTGTTACCATTTTAACTGCCACAGCCACTTTCTGTGACACCCAGTGAGCCCGCAACCACTTGTACTGTGATTTCAATCATGTGGACACACCTTCTAAGTTGACTATAAACTAGTTAAGGGAAGAGCCTTATATTACATTTATTTCCAAAAGCTCCTGCCACCTACACAGTGACTTTGATACCTAGCTCAGTTTTTGTCATGCAAAATTCTGCCAACATTTGTGATATGTGGGGTATGGTATATGTAACTCGTCTATTGTAACACAGTGTCTACAATACATATTTCACATTCTGTGGTCAGCAAGATAAGGGAAGCTCTCTGATGGTCAAAGTGTTCTTGAAAAGCTCTGACTGTACTACATATCAGCATTAAACCCAACACTACCAGTTCCTTCCCTTCACCCCCACCCCCATGTTGAATGGGAAGGATGGTGTTGTTTTTTTTCAGATGAGTATCAGACAAAATAAGTGGCTAGCATTAGAGGCCAACTGTGCCAATTTATGTATCTTTAAATAATAGCATTACAATCAGTTTCAGATTGTGGCTGGTGAATATCTTATTATCTTACAGAATTTAACACAAAGACAGGCTCATAGCAGCTGCTCAATAAGTGTGTGTTGAATGAATATGCAGTGGAATGAGTGGTCTGGTGGCTCCTCCATGTGCCGACGGAACACTGCGAGAGCGCCTATATGAACTGGAGGGGGGCAAGCTGTCTTTTCCTAGGGTTCCTTACTCCTGTTTAGAAACTGATCAGAGGGAGTGGTTTCTCAGGGGTCATTATTTCAAACCCCTTCTTTCTGGTGGAATCATACTTAAGATAATTGCCAGAAAAGGAGACTTCTCACTCTCTCCAACCAACCCAATATTTAAGTCTTTATTATAAAAAAATTCTTTCTTATCCCTCCTGTTAAACAATTTTTTCCCCTTTTCCCCCCAGGCCTGGCCTCAGTGCAGATTAAGAACAGCTGGGCCTGGTCTCCTAGCTCCATCCGCCTCTTCACTGGACCAGCCAACTATTATTAAACTGCTTTCCAGCCTTCCCCCTTCCAGATGAATAAGCTGTCTCTCTACTTTTTGTTTCAGGTTTTATTTTCCAACATTGTAGTCATTTTTGTGATGTCTTTTAGTTGTAAACACAGAACAAACACATTAGCTGTTGAAAGCGGAACTCCTGTCCTATGTTCTACGTGCCTATTTAGGCCACTGTGACAAAGTAAAAAAGGCAGATTTAAAACCAATCAGACCTGGACTCGAGTTCCAACTCTGTCATTTACTTGCCATGTGATCTGAAGAAAAGTCATTAGCCTCAGATTCTTCAAAAGATTGGAAACAACAGCTACCTCCCCAAACTGTTGAGATTAAACCAGGTAATGTTATGAAAGTGGTCTGTACACGGAAAGCGGTATTATCATATAATTTCTGCTTTGCCTGGGGATGGGCATAAGAAAAAGGCTCTGAGTTCGTTTTGGCAAATCTCATTTCAAAAGACTGAAATCTTTATTGTAACCCATGAGCGCTCCAATCAGCCAGGAAGCGCGGACCACACCACTGAAACACAACAGTGGCGGTCAGTCAGTGAGCGTGAAGACAGCAGCACGTGTCCATGTGCAGGGCCAGGCGGGAAGCGGCAGAGACGCGGGTCAGTGGAACTCATCACACTCTTAAATAGCAACTGGTCTGGAAGGAGATGACGGAGGGGGATTCTGAGAGAATGGGGATGGGTCCTCCTGGTCGCTTAATGCCGATCAGCATGGCTGTGTCTGCTCTCAGGAAGGAAAGAAACCCCAGGAATGTACACCTGGCTCCAGGGGGCTTCGCTGCACACGGTGTGGTGCAGACAGTCCACCGCAAGCACCAGCCCTGGTCCATCACCAGCCCACTTTTCAGTTCCGCTGCTCTCCTCTTCCCTTCCTGGCAGGCGTAGCTATTCTAGAACACTGGCTGCACAGAAGGTAGAGCCCAGGAGCAGGAGAAATGGAAGAAATCGAAATAACTACAAGTTCAATCAACCTGACTATGGAACCTCTTCCCTCCACAGTTGCCAAATATTTGCCCGTAAGGTGTGGGACACAGAAAAATGCCATAAATGCCTTTAAATTACATAAAGTTCTTCTCAGTATAATTTAAGCAGTTTGTGTTTTAGTGAATTCTAATTCTCTGACTACTCAATTTAACCAGTAGCTATTGCGTGCCTATGAAATGCCAGACATTCTCCAAGGCACCAGAGATTTCATCCAAACACTCAACTCTCAGTTAACTTCTTTTTATTCAAACATTTTTAAAGAAACAGGACACTACTGCAATCAGGATTAGCCACTGATGTCTGAGCAAAGAATGGATCTCGAAACGTGAAAACACAACACTCCCCAGGAAGAAAGAGAAAAATGGTATTTCAGGCAAGGGAATAGTTGTGCAAACCCCAGAAACATGCAAGGTGTGAAGCTGACCCCGGTCTATCTGAGAGACAAGGGGACAGGCTCCTACCTGAGCTATATGTCTTTGGTTACTCAAACCCCATTGCTGTGGTGGCACCAAGAGACAAGTCATCTGCTGTGCCCAGAGCAGAGGGCTTGGCGGGAGGGCCCCGATGAAGAGTGGGCCAACCACAAAAAGGCCCTGTTTTAAGGAGAGTTCGCTGATTTTGGAGGCATGGATAGCCATTGAAGGGAAGAGACATAATAAGACAAACATTTTAGAGGATTCATCTGATGGCAGAATTCAGTCAGACTGAAGAAAGGAAGACCAGTTGCAGGGCCCCTGAAACAACGCAAGGGCCCTAACTCAGGTGCTAATAACTTTCCGAAAAAGTCAAAGTAATTTAACTTGCTTCGTTGAGAACCATAAAAATCAAAATGAAGATTATGGTGTCCTCACGTTTTCGAGTCAAAAATCTTCAACTCTTTTGGTAAACAATCCTTTCCTGACCCTGTTACATTAATGCCCATCCATGCCACTACTGGCCCGTCTAGGTCTACTTTACATTCAAGAATTTAAGTAAGCGTTAACAGTACTCAGATTATTGGTTCTTGTAGGTTACTACTGCATCCCACAAAAGTAGGCTCAAACTTGAATAGTTAAGAAAAAACATACAAGCTAATTTTTATAGTCAAAGTTGGGAAAGTTTTGAATGGAAACAAACACCATCACATTTCATTCAAATTCATTTTTCCAGAATGTCAAAAAACAGGCAATGCTTTTTCCTATTTTGCTATGGTATCTCATTCTGTTAATGCACAATCCTATTACCCCCTCTCTCCCCACTCTCCAAACTACACTAATTTAAGATTCTAAAAGGCTAACGCAGGGAAAAACATTTATGACCAAGCAGAGACATAAAAATACAGAAAAGTATAATTGGCACTATATAATATTAGTGTTTAGCAAAGGATAGGATATGTGAAAATGATGCTTAAGGCGAAATCAAGACGAGATAAAAAGTACAGCAACTACTACGGTTAGCGTGATTAACTTGTCACATAAATATGTTTAAGACAAAATAATCTAGCACTAAAAACTATTAAGAAGGTCTCCTGCTGACATTTTATCACTAGACATGTCACACTGATTTTCTTTCACAGAAAAAAAACCCTGAAATTCGTTTACTAAGAGCAGCGATACATAACCTTATCCCTTAAAAAGACTCATGCTTTTCTTTTACGCTTCTCATTCCCCCACATAAAACTCTGTCATCTGTATCGCATTCTAAACCCAACACAAATGATCCTATCTCACTAAAGACGGAAAAATGTTGCAGGATGTATTTCAGAGCTTTTATTGAGTCGAGCACAAATTATGAATGAATATATTTTATTTAAAAACATGTTATTGACAGAAATCTATCAATAATAATGTGGGTATTGTCAAGGGCCTGTCAATATTAATGTAATTATGATTAAGGGGATGACATGGATTTTTAGCTATAATACCAAGTAACATCTCCTACGTTGCTGCTATCAATATACACAGTAATATTGACCTGTTCCGAGACTCAGTACTAGATGTATTACCGTTAGGCATATTTGTCAATGCATTCTGCCTACAAAATTTCTACACTGAAATTTACAGTCCTGTAAACTCTGTCAGCAGAAACATGTGACTCCCAAGTAATCTCTCAGGTATCAAACCCATCCACTGCCCCCCCCCACGCTATCCTTTCCCAGATTCACAAAAATGAACTCATGTTCAGTATGATGTTTTTGCCACACTATCCTAAGGGTTCCAGTAATAAAAATGGAGGAGAGCACATATTCATTTTTTCCTTTTAAGTTTTAAAAATAAATTAAATTAACATTTCGCATTATGAGGTTATGTGAATAAAGTTCTTAAACCGGAGACTTAAAGCTTTGAACTTCCACCCTAGTGTTTCCTTTGTGTGGTCAGATAGATTTACTGTCCATTGTATTGAAATCAATACTAATAAATGGGACGTGCATCAAAGAGGGATTTAACAGGACACCGATTCCCAGAACACATTTCAAACATGAGCAAGAGAGAAAAAGCTATGGCTGAGGCCATTAGAACTCTGTGACCTCTGACACTGTGAACAGGAAGAGAATTCAACAACAGAAAGTTCAAATCCCACTTCGGCCACAGACTTGCTAAGTGACTTGTCACTACTCTTTTGTTGCTCTTTCATCAAGTATAAACCAAGTTTCAATAGTTTATACATATTCCACTGTACTCCTTTGGGTAAAGACAAGATATGCAGAATTTTAAAAATTCTGTTATGGACACTAAAACTCTAGATTACTCTTAAATGCAATCATCATCAAAATCCAAATAAATTTTTTTCTTTTCAGGGGTGGTAGTGGGTATGCAACGTTTCTAGAATATATTTGAAGAAAAACTGCAAAATATAAATCTCTCAAAAAGATGAACAGTAAGTAACTTGCCCTAGCAGAGGGGATACACACACACACACACACACACACACACATTTATTTGGAGAGAAGAAGAAACTCAACTTAAATACTACAATCTTTAAGACAATTAGTATTACAGTTGAGCACCTTACCTATTTCATTTATGGTATATTTATTCAAGTATCTATAACTAACACAAACTATATTTTGAATCTTAAAGCAGAATTCCCAATACCTCGAGCCAGCTTTACACAGATGTTTTTAGGAGAAGGACCTGGACTCATAATCTTTTCTCTTGGAAAGTTGATACTTCTGAGTCTTGAAGACAGAAAGTACATTGTGAAAACAGAGAAGAGATGTTTGAGTGAATATGGGGGGTTCTGATCAGTTCTATATTCCAGCTCATGTTGACCAACAGGATGTGTGACCCTGGACAAGTCATTGTACCATACGGCACTTTTCAGCAGTTAAAATAGAAAGCAGCTATAACAATTTTACCTATCTAGAATCCTTATAGGAACTGTTTTAGGAAACCTTGAAAGAGGAAGAAAAAGAATAAAAGAACAGCCATTTCCAGCTGCAGAAATGGTAATGTTGAACGTGAGTCTGGAAAAAGGGAGAGCAAGTGGAGAAGTCAGAACAGAAGGCTCAAGACAAAGAAACAATCCTCATGGAAACAACAGCAAAACCATCGGGGACCACCACCCCACCAGCTGGTGAGTTTACAGCTGCGGTAACTCACCACTTACTTACCAGTGACTGGGGGCTATAGTGACAGCCACAGCTAAGTGCCCTTTGCAAAATTAAATAGTAAGTGATTTAATCCTTACAATATGATGAAAGAGCTTCTCTTATTATTTCTGTTTTAAAACAAGGAAACTAAGGCACAGAGAGATTAACTGACCAGTGTGAAATCACACAGCTAGAAATAAGAGCCATGCTCTGAACCAATGTGCTATACTGACAAGTGGTGATGGGCCTAAAAAAAATTAACAACAAATAAAAAGTGACCATGGACACTTTAGGACATGCAGATGGGACTGTTTCAAGAGGCTAAGGACTACGAGATTAAGAGTACAGGCATGGACTATAGCAAAAATGCCAAACCAGGGATGAGCAAAGGAGCTACATGAAACATGAAGCTACCAGATCTTTAAGTAGCCTATACATTTAGAACAAGGCTCTAGGCTCTAATTGCTTAAGAAGGGAATTCTAAATGACATGAAATTTCTGGAACACACATTTCATTGCACAGTTTATGGTGCTGGGATGTGGACCTATCCATAGGCACGGGAAAGAGGCGTTGGCAATGCAACAGGAGCACATACCATATGATACATGTTATTTATGTGGGAGGCGCTGTAGGTTTTCTTTCCCTATTTTATCGCACTAAATTCTCAGAACACAGGAAATACTATCACATCCACTTTAAGAAGACCAAAATTAAGCCTTGAGACGATGAACTTACCTGTTTAAGGCCAAACTGGCAATTGGTAAATTTCTAGTAAACACCAGAGAAATTGTGGAACACACAAAAGGAAATCAGTAGTATGGACACGTGGAGCTCAAAGCAGAGTTTTTTCTCTTTGGGACCAGATTGCCAGTCACTCGCAGGACTGCGGATGGGGAAAGAAACAACAGGAACGTGGTCGGTTTACCCAAGTTGCCTGGGATGCGCGTCATCCACATTCCCCCTCCCTGCTTCTGCATGCGGTCAGAGAACCGTTTGGAGAGACTGACTCCAATCTGCACAAAGGAAATATGTGGGTGAAAAAATGAGGCATGAACACTCACTTAAAGACCGTGAACACATACTATGTCCAAAGCAGAGGCCAGGCCAACTCATCTAACACTGGAAGGGAATGGTTATGCACAATCAAAACGGAATTACTCTAGAGCTCTTGGTTTTTACGTTTTAACAGTAAAAAGAAAGAAAAGACTCATGGATGAAATTTTATCTCACCTTTATTGACAGGCAGGTAAGAAGGGGGTGCTTTGATAAAAAGAAAACATATTAAATAGAAAAAACAAACAAACCACAGAAAAGGGCATGTGGTTGTGTAGGTGGGAAAGGGTGGGAAGAAGTGATCAACAGCCCACGGAGGGTGCCCAGACCCTCCTCTCGGCCCTCCACTTGCAGGTATAGAAATCACAGCTCTGGTATTTGCAGCACCAACATTACAGACCCAGGGCAAGAGGAGCAGTCAGGGCTCTCTCCTGAGGTTTCTTCCACATTCTGAAGGAACTGAAGAGGAGCATGGGATGTTTAGAGACTGCTGACATTTCACAGGAAAGAGATACAGGAAACATCCAATTTGCTGCTAGGTTGCCCGACCCAGATAATCAAAAGCGGGGGGAAAAGAAAAAGGAAGGAGTGATTCAGAGCAGAACTTTTGTGCAGAAACAAAGATTGTGCATATGGCATACATTTCCCTTGTGCTATAGGAACCTGTGCACGGTGGAGTACAAGAGGGAAAGAAACTTTGAAATCATGTGATGCTGCGAGGAAAATGTGCAGCTAGGACTAAGAACTTTACTAGCAATGTGATTCTGGGCAAGACTGCTGACATCTGTAACGTTCAGCCACCAAGCACGTCAAATGGAAAATACCTGCCTTCCTATTGCAAAGATGATTACAAGCTTTGAATATAAGTAAAAATGTTGTGGCTAAAAGAAAAGGGTAGGGGGAAGAAAGAAAAATAAAGAATTACTATTCTGATCATAAAGAAGTAATTAAATTTGAAATCTGTATCTATTAGACAAGTGAGACTGAAGACAGACATGTTTACGGCTTTTAGTAATGAATTATCTGTGAACATACATATTTTATTTTAAAAAACTAATACATAAATGCACACTGACAACAAATGAATAATTATCCTAAGAAACGGAATTTAAATGCTAGAAGGAAACACCGATCATCTAGTCTCAGATAAGAATTTAATTTTCTTAACAGAAACCCTGTTTTTCAAGCAAAATATATAAAATAGCTGCTGAGGGTCTGCTTACTTTGTCTCTCTCCTACAAAGCTCCAAGAAACTTCTCAAGTCCTATGGAACTGTTTTAAAACCGCGGGTGGAGCGCTACCCCTAATTTCTAAAAATAAGAATAAGGCCAAGAGGTAGAGCTGGTCCAAAGAAAACCAGTCAGGTAGAGCTCATTCTCTCTACTGTGTCCTGTTATTTCTCCACCCCTTCCCCCCCTTTTTTTTAAAAAGAAAAAAAATTCATAAGGGATTCTCTTTTTGACTTTGTAAAGAATTCCATCTCTTCTTTCAAACCTACTTCTGTCTCCAGCGCACCCGCCTCTAACCCTTCCGGACACAAGGCACTGACAGCACGGGGAGACGCGCGAGGCCGCCCCGCGCTCATTCCGCTCGGGTTCAACTAAAGGGGCCACGCTGGGGGCAGGCGATCGGCCCGCACGCAGGCGCGGACGGAGCCGCGGCCTCCCCGCCAGCGGCTCTCAACGTGGAGGCGAAAGCGCCACTGCCCAGGCCCGCGGGCGCCAGCTGACGTCACACCGACGTCCCCAGGCCTCGGCCCGAGGGGAGCCCTTTCACTCGCACGACGCAGCTTTGGCAAATGGAACCTAAGGAAATGAACAAACAGTAACTTTCAGCTTCGGGCCCCAGAAGGAAAAGGCTGATTCTCGTATTTCTCATCAGAAATCCGTACTAAATAGAACAAACTCAGCGCAAGCAATTGTATAGGAAAATGCTCAGGAACTCTTCTTCCACGAGAGCGTTAAAGCTGCTTTTACAAAAATGTTGGAAACCCCAGCACACTCGTACATATACATATTTTTGTACCAAATACAACAGTTCACACGAGCCGCCGCTAGTGAGAGAGGCGTGGCCGCCGCGGAGGCTGAGCCTTTCCCCGCAGGGAGCCCCCAGCGCCGCGGGGCGCGGGGCAGAGTCCGAGTCTCTCCCTCGGCGGGACGCGCCGAGCTCGGGCGGCCGGGCTCTTTTCCTTCTCATGGTGCGGCCCTAACCCTAACTCTCGGACTTTACGTCTGCTTCCTTGCCTTTCCCCAAGTCCCAATCCGATCTGCCTCCACCTGGAAGCCAGGGACCAGGGGGCTGAAGCGACGGGCGACAAGGACGAGGCGGGGAAACTGACGCGCTCCCGGCTGCGCGGCCGAGCTCGGGCGGCCCCGCGGCTCCTCGGCGGACACTGACCTGGAGTCCGCGACACGCCCCGCTCCACGGAAGTTTCTCTGAAACATTCTCTAGGAGGCTTGGCTTTTCCTAGCAGAACCTGGGCTGCCCGGGCTTCCGGAAGTCGCGGGCTTCCGGGGCGACGCAGGACCCGGAAGTGTCTGGGGGAAAAAAAAAAAAAGGGAACTTAAACCATCGGGAACTACGCTTCGGCGCGAGGCGGAAGGCCGGGGAAGGCCCAGCATCCGCGAAAGCCGACGAGCCGAAGGGCCGAGGACCGACGAGCCGAAGGGCCGACGAGCCGAAGGGCCGAAGAGCCGAAGGGCCAAAGAGTTCACCGCGCGCGGTGATTGGCCGGCTGGCGGTTCGGAGGAAAACCGTGTTTGATTGGCAGGAGAGCCGCCGGGGGGCACGCGTGAAGC